GAGATTTGACTCAATTCAACAAGTTAATAAAATATGAACGAAAACAGGAGCAAGTTTCATAAGAAGATAATATTTATCCTCTCTGCGTATTGTCCCATGTGCGCTATAGATCTCTCTACTTCTTCTAGAGTGACCATGTGCTTCTCTGATTAACCAGTCAATCAGTATGGAACATTTCAGTTCAAAGCACTTTAGATTTAAACATCTCTTGTGTCAGTCTCTCAGTTTAAGTGGACGGCCATGTCTTGGTGAGCCTGTAATGGTCTGCATCCCTGTGTTTTTGCTGAGATTAAATAACACAGACTTTGAATCTGTTTAATAGTGAGCAGAAGAGAGCTGGTAGAGCCCCATTTCACTAATTTAACAAACCAGAAACAACCCTTGTTTAACTTTTGGCTTCAGCAGCTGCAATAATAAATAATATGTCACAGTTACGTACTCAATATTACATTTGTTAAATAGTTAGGAAATAAATGTAAAAGTAAAACAAAAGCAATAGATGTGGGATAATTTTTTCCCCCTGTCAGGATTTGGACCGTGATGACCCAAACTGCAGACGTTGTGACCAATCGTGTGAGGGCTGCTGGGGCCCCAGCATGTGGCAGTGCACCCTCTGCCACCCGAGCCACATCCTGGCCGATGACGGCCGCTGCTTGAGCTGCTGTGGAAAGAAGACGCCACATGATGACAAGCCAATACCCAGGGAGTGCTGCGACTGCGAAGCATCATACAGTAAACAAGAACTCACTGCATCACCCATTAGACCTCTATGGTCATCTTATCCATGTTGATGTTTGCCCTGGATTGGTGAATGGAAACATTTTTAACCATAAACTGGATTGAGTGTAAATCATGTTACACCTTTAACATGATTTCCACTTGCAGCGCTTTTACAACCAAAAAATACTCATTTAAAAGGCATTTCCTTGAGAGGGTTTCAAGTTTTACTTCACAGTCTGTAATGGTCAAGCAAAACCAGTTTTGTCAGCTTTCTGAAGGAACTTACTGTAAAACTGTCAGTAAGGTTCACTTTTCAGAGAAAATTGTCAAGTGACTTGGCAGTGAGCCTGACTGACAGTTGCTGGAAACCAATTTTGCATCTAGTGTAACAATAGACCTGCTTTTCAGGTGGAGCCGCTTAGTTCCAATGAAAGCAGCTCCTAATCCTTCAGCACAACATGACATTTTCTGCATCTATGCAGTCCCAAATTTATGGGAACAATTTGAGGATGTCACCTTCTTGTTCCAGCATGACCATAAATATATGGGACAGATGACATGAAATAATTTGTCTGGCCTGCAGGGAGTCCTGTCCGCAACCCATGAGAACATTTGTTGTCCAAATGTGATAAAACATCATTATTTTCCGTTATTGCTAATGAAATATTTTAGGAACCCATGCTAAACTGCAGGTTGCATTATCTAATGTAATCTTATAAATATGTGTCTTCTCTTTTTTTCAGTGCGGTGTATCCTCGGTGTCAACTTTGTCATGAGGTCAGCTGAGGATTTAGAGAGCCGTGCCAGGTTCAATGTCATGGCCTGCGTCATGAGTATCATTATTCTAGGTGGAGCGATCTTTGTTTTGCTCTCCATCCGCTCCAAGAGGTTCGTCATCAAGTCCAAAACCAAAGATGGGGGGTATCAGAAACTGAACACGAACGATGACAGCCCACCGCAGCCCACCACCTCCTCCTTTGGGGAATACAGCGACAGGATCACAGAGTGTGAGAACGACGAGGAGTATGACGACGAGGACATCGTGTACATGACTAAAGACGGAACGGTGTATCGGAAATTTAAGTACGGCCTTCTGGATGATGATGATGTTGAGCTGGAATATGACGACGAGAGCTACTCATACAGATGAAGCAAAAACATAAAAAAATAGCTGTGCAAAAATGTTATTCTCACCTGTTTTTGGTACCACTTTATAATAAGACATGCTTAATAAATTAATTATTAACAAGTAATAACATTTTTTTATTAGTGACACTATGAACACTATAAACCATTAATAGAGAATTATTGTGTGTTATTTTAAAAAAATGACAGACATTAAAGATGGAAAGTGCCTTGCTAAATAATTATTCTGAGTCTATGAGAAGTCGCCTTTTTTTTAAAGCTTATTATTATTTATGAAGCTTTGACAGCTTAACTGATGACACAATTAAATCATTATTTGTGAGGGCAGTCTTATTTTAAAGTGGTAGATTTTGTTTACGATTATGTTTGTGAATGCTTCTTGTTTAATAAGAAACTGATACATCAATGCAATTAAGTCAAATAATTTTTCTCTGTGATCTTAACTAAGATTATTAGCACATTTTATGGTTGAAACAGGGTAATAATATCTTGTTATTTATTAAAAGACAATGATTGAAACTGTAATTTTTCTCTTTAAAATTCAGGCATCTCTTCCACATGTTTCCTGTCATGTTTGTATTTTTAAGTTTTTTGCTTGTGTGCGGACCCTGTAAGTCTGGGCCTCCATTTTAAAGTTTCAGGTTGTGACTAGCTAGTGTGACGGTAGAGAGGCGGTGGGATTCACTCATCTGTCAGACTTGTTTACTGTGAAAACACCAAGCTGGATGTAAATGGTGATGGCAGCTCCATGGTGACAGAAACTAAGACGTACCCAACAACAGTCATAACTAATAAAATGTGTTGGTTTTTCCTATTTCCTCTTTTTTTCTAACAAACTTTAGGGAAGATTGAAATTTATAATCTACCCGACCGAAGACATTCTGTATCTGAATTGGATTTTCCCGTGTTGCCTTGGAAGGGCTGCACATTTCCAATTTCCTTGAAGATATGTAAACATAGCGCTCCTTCCCACCTCACCCCCTTCTGTTATCCATGCAGCTGTGGAGCTGAGCACTCCCAAGGACATTCCTCGATAACAACATCTTATCAGACTTTGCCGGGAGGCTGAGCAACGTGGTTTCATGGCCCCGTGATGTCACCGCCTTCACTTCAAGCCTTTGTTTTGTGTGAATGTTGCCATGTGCCCTAATGTGTCCTTTCCTCTTTTTATTTTATTTTGTTAGAAACTGTGGAGAACTCACTTTTAACCCAGAAAAGGAATTGGACCAGAGACTACCTGGTCTAGTTTTACACACAGTAAATCAGGAAACATATTCAAGTAGAATATTAGAAACTGCACTACATCAAGTAAGCTCAAGTTGTCTTATACAAGTGTGTGTGTCAATAAGTAGCTTTGTCAGTCAGATGTAGCTTCTTAAATGTCTTTGTGAATATCGTTTGAGATACCAGACATCTCCCTGCATGTAATCTGTTTAACCCTCTCCAGGCAGGTGTTGCAGATTTGCAACAATTTAGACAGTCTTTTCAAGTAATTTGAGCCTGAGAGGGTTACGTTGCTTAGAAGATTACAGAGACTTCTTGTTTGGTTGGATGTTTTAAGAAAAGTCCAGAGCTCAGTAAAGAAATGTATTTTATTGTGGGTGAAAAAAGATTGTATTTTTTTTTCTTGTATTTTACATATTCAGTGATAAGACAGGAGATGGGGAGAGAAAGAATGGAGAAAGGTTGTATCAAAGATGAAGTATATGTGATCTGGTTTCTCTACTCTACCAGCTGCACCAGTAGAAACCTGTCGGGCAACTGGCTCTGTGTGCAGCAAAGTCAGACTAAAGTTCTGAAAATCAAGAATGGTAGCAAGCAGCTCCATCTGCTTTTAGCTGTAACAATGCTGCTCAGTTTTTTTTATTTAACTGTGACTAAAAATTCCCTCTGAGGTGCAGTCTGGCATATGACCCTGAGACGCCTGGATCTTTTACTGGCTGTTCCCACAGAAACCTTTTTCCTGGTTTGTCTAGGCTGCTGCAAAGTAAACTGACTGATACATAACTAAAGCTGTAGCTGGAAGAAAGCAGTCTGAAAGTTAGAACTAGCTGAGAAGAGGAATAAAAACCAAAGAAACAGGCAAAAGTAAGCAAGAAGATAAATGTCATAGGTTGTCAGTGGGTGAATTTGCTATTTTTAGAAAGAAGCGAGCAATGTATTGTATTATGTTTTTGAGCCTTTCGATCTTATTTTAGTAACCCTACTTCTCATGGGAACTCCAGATAATTGCTCCAACATGTGAGATGATAAATGTTTCTTTCTCAACTTCTGAGATAAATGTCAAGACACTTTGGATCAATTTAGTTAAATGTTGGACTGTGATTAAAACAAAATTAATTTAAAAACAATAATAAAAAGAAACCAGGTGCCTTTGGTTAGTGCATCATATTTTATAATGTAAGAAGAGAACATTTATGATATAGGATAATAATTTCAGGCCTCAGAAAGGCTTTAATTAATTAAATAGACCTAAAAAAAATAAAATTACAGATGCAGATTTCCAGCAATTATGACAGGCGTTAGAGAGAATGTAAAAACAGTTTCCTGTCATCTCAAATTTGAAAGAGACGGTAAAAAGAAAATACTCTCTCAAGGGCTTTTAACACGTTCACAAAAACATAAAACTGAAATATTTTTAAATGGGCAATAGTTTCCAACTTTCACATATGATTATGTAAAAAAATAATTCATGTTCATAAATTTGTAAGGCTATGGCTGTATATTCACATTAAATACATGACATTTTTTCGTCTAATCATTCAAAAAGTTTTTTACTATGACTAATAAAAAGAAAAAAATAAAAGCTCTGTCATTCAAATCGTTCATCACCATAATCAGCTTGGCTGATGAAACCAAGATCTTGATATCAAGGATCAACGCATTCAAATCCTGCAGTGGTATATCTTCTTAAAACGTCTGTGTATTCTGCTTGTTATTCCTCAAATCTGGTCAAATGTAGTATTTCAGACAGATAGAACAGCTCCAACAGAAACTCTGCAGCAGACGGTGTTGACAGGACAAACTGGTAAAACTTATCATGAAGGTTACATAAGTTGTAACTTAATCATAGTTTTGATAGTGGTGGATTACACAATATCATCTTCCAGGAACAATGACGCTTCAATGCTGACTTGGGTATGTCAAAGAAAGATAATGAGTTATCTTTCTTTGCGTTTATGCATCATTTAAATCATTGTTTACACTAAGTGGAAAAAAAACCCAAACAAAATAAAAAACATCTGAGCAGTGATTTTTATCTGTCCTCGCTTCTAAAAGATTCAAAAATATACAGAAGAACCAGATAATAATACAAGAATATATATACAGTTCAGGCTGTGTGCGGTAAAACAACAGACGTCAGAAAATAGTGTTCTAACACAAAACCACGTGAAAAGAAACAAGAGGTTGACTGTTTATGTGACAGCCAACAGATTTTATAATAAGGCTGTACGTGTGAGCAGAATCGTGCTCCGAGGACAAAGCGCTGCCGTCTCTGCCAGCTGTCAGTGACCGTTGATGATGCTCTGAGACGTGGACGCAGCAGATGAGGAAGAGACCAGAGAAGAGTTGGTTGTGCTGGTGAAGAAGTTGTCTTCCTTCAGCTTGCTGTGCTCTGGGAGCTCCAGCTTAACCTTGGCCTCCTCAATGTCACTGTTGATGGCCGCTATGAGATCCTCTGTCAGCAAGGATAAAAAGGCAGCCGGCAGTTTGTGCGTCGGGAGGGAAATAGCACAAGAAAAGGGGAAGAAACTGTGTTACTGGCACTTTGATTTGTTTCTTTCACTAAAGTGCAAATGCATGAACGTGACTTTCACATTCCAGTTTCTAAAAAACGCACATGACAGCATACCAAGTGAGGGGAAGCTCTTCTCTGAGCGGATGTACCCCACCAGAACGACACTCAGAGTCTGTCCATAAAAGTCTTCTTTGAATTTGTGAATGACGTGCGTCTCCTAGAACCCCAAAGACATTTACATAAATTCCAAAAGCAGACAATTTGCCAAAATTTGTTGAAATGCTTAACCAATCACAATTCCACCTGGAGTTTTCCTCTTAGCAGAGCAAAACGAGCCTGACACGAGCAGGTGTGTGATGCTGTGAACATTTATTTGCTCATTCAATGCAAACAGAAAACAGCTTGAGTAATTTAAATCTTCTGGAGGAATGTCAACTGACAAGGGCTTTAGGGACTTTCTTGTTTCCAGACCTTCATGCCCAGGGATAATGAATGGCTTCAACTGAAGAGACATACCACAAACCACCAGCCAACCAAACAAGCAGGTTTGAAGTGACTCAAATGAAAGCTACCCAGCGGGAGCTTACCATGGACTTTTTTGTGTTTTTGTAGTAAGGATTCCAGCCGATGCTCATCACCATTTTGTAAACGTTACCATTCCCGACACAAGCCCAGCCGTAATAGATTCCTGTGCTGATATCTGCTGGAAGATTGTCCACCACCGAATCCGGGAAGTTGGCTGTAAATCCCAACATAAAAGACAGAAGGAGAAAATCGGAATAAAAACCAAAGAAAGAGGCAGAGGTAAGCAAGACGATAAATGCCATCAGTTGTAAGAGGTAGAACTGGTTATTTTTTACAAGGGAACATCTGAAATTTATTATGTTTCTTTCTCCCTTTTTATATGATAAAACTAAAGTTGATCATGAAAGACAATATTTGCAACTCTACTTAGACATTTTTGACTTTAGAGGATTTGTTCCGACCATGACATTGCAGCGCCAGATAAACTAATAGGCATGTCACTCAGCACATCTGTATTTGGATGATTTTGTTGTACAATTACATCCAAGTTTTATGAACTAGGTTATCTGAATTTTTTTCAAAAACGGAAGACCATCTAATTAGACTCTTTGAAAGGGATTTATTTTTGGCAGATTGAACCGGCTTTGTTTGTGAAAATCAAAAGTGTTCATCAAAAGTTTGGAAAATTACTTTTCACAAAATCTGAACTGGATGATTATTGAACGATCAAAACAGTAACACGTAATGCTACTGCACACACTTTCACATGAAAGGGATGATCTTTTAGTTTCAATTAACGATGTATTCAAAACTACGGAGCCCCCTATGGGACATGGGGATTTTTTTTTCTTTTGCGTCCCCTCGCAAACATGTCCTCTACGGGGCTCCGTATAAAACTATTACCTCTGTGATATATATATATAAAAAAAATTTTTACATTTGATATTCAACACATTTTAGCTGCAAGTATTTTGTGTGACCATATTGTTCGGGGACTATTGTTACATTCTGAAACATGTCAGATTTTAAACAATGCAGACTTGATCGGTTCGCTGGCATTACTCACTCCTGATGAAAATGGACACGATGGATATAATGGATGAAGTAAAAGTTATAAGAAGAAAAGTGCCTTTGCCATCAACCCGCGGGACTCCAGATGCATTTCTTTATTTCTCATGTGTCGGTCTGCGTCCGTTTGCTTAATGCCTCTATTTACGTCAGGCGACAAAAAACACGACTTCACATTTTGGACAGAATCACAAGGACGGAGAGTCAACAGCTGCACTATGAGAAACAGTCAAGTTCCGTTACGCAACTCGCACGCCTACGTAGAAAGATTAACTCCGTTTACGTACAAATTTAGACTGATTTGTGCGAATAACGCTCACGTAAAGCGTAAGTTACTGACCCGGTGACGTACAAAACCACTTTGATGAACTTGTTACGTTCAGATCCAGCCTCTGCATAATTCCCAGAATCAGCAAAAAAAAAAAAAAAAAAAATAATAATAATAATCTGTTATTACAGACTTTACGTCATTTACGTAGACAGTTACGTGTCACATTATCTAACCGTAAACCTCACAGTTTGGTGCCCGTTCCTCGCCTCACCCGTGGGAATTCCGAGTTCTTTGCTTCCTCTTCCAAATCCTCGAATGACCTCTCCTCGGCAGAAGTACGGGAGACTCTTCATGCTTTGTGTCCCGGGAGCAGCTGCTTTCGACGGGGCTGCAGAATGACCTCGAACACGGCACAAGGAAGTGAGCCTGGCTGCTCAACTGGAACCGTTTTAACGGCTAGCACACTGCTATGAGCAAACTGGTGTCTTATTTATTTTGAAGTTAAGCTCCAGTGCCAGAGTCTGACGGTACGGTCAGCTTTTCCTATCAAGGCGCCTCCCGCAAAAGCTGGTTAAAGTTGAACCCCAGTCACTAAGCAGAGATGATGATGGAAGTTCACCAGCTATGCTAGCGGTGCTAACTACCGTCATCTGCCACTGACAGATCCCGAAGAGGGTGAAACCAGGGATAAATTAAAGACAGCTGTTTCTATAGAAATCCGGAGGATGACGGTACTTGTTTCTGGACAGCTGCGACGTGGTGCGGCGATGAAGACCAAGCTTAGAAAAAGCCGGTTACGTTTATAACATGTGTTTGAACCCTCTGCGTCACGTACGCTCTGCGTGATGTCATTGACCGCGTGACCACAGGAGTGTCACTGTGCGTTTAGGTACTGTGGGAAATGATAATAAAAATACTACTAATAATTATAACTTTAATAATAATAATAATAATAATAATAATAATAATAATAATAATAATAATAAAGAATAATTCATTGAAGTTGGTCAATTAATTATTATTCATTGACCATACCGGTCGAAAGAGCTCAAACAAAGTGAGTCTTGCTGAGATGTGCCGCTACATGCAACAATACTTTTGTATTATGTATTGTCCAATTATTATCTCCACCAGGTGCTGTCACCTGATGGAGAGCAAATGAACACAAGAATGAAAGTTGGTGAGAAAGCACACAATAAATAAATAAACGAATAAACGTGTCAGAACAACTGACGTTTTTAAAATGTTAGGAAAAAGAAACATTTGGTTTGTGCTAAGAACGCAGTGATGAACATCAGCTGTGAAGTGATTAGTTCGGACGCGTTGGGATCATTTGTTGGCTGTGTGTCATTTAGTAAAATGTATAGGGAGCCCACTAAACATAACAAAAATGTATATAGTTACTCAACTTTCGCCTTCAATCAAATGTCCCTGCCTACTAAAATGACTCTATATAAGTCATGTTTTTTTTTAATAAAGTTGAATTTGATCTGCTCCATTTAACTCCACAATTTCCTATTGGGACTGAATCAGAAGTGTCCTGGGTGCCAGCTGGCTTCTAAATTCATCTTCACCTAATTTCCAGAAACATTCAGAGACAGAAGAAGGAGAGCAGTCAATTTTTTAAATATTCATGTGAGTCAGTGCGTTTTGGCAGGTTTTATAAATAATACACAAAAATAAAAGAAAGATATATCTATGTACATAAGCCTTATGTTTTCATGATAGAAAAAAACACGCGCACGCACACAAATCAACTTGCATTGCCTGCGTCCGCGAGGGGGCGATAACGAGCTGGCAGAATAGTAAATATAGTTTTTGAAGCGTTTTATTATTATTATTATTGCACAATTTATCAGTAGGTATAAAAATTCAAATAATAGATAAATTAAACTACGGCTAATATGTACATTGTTAGGATTTTAATTATTTGTTTTGTTCCTCTGCTCTGCCATTGACTCCTGTCCAGTCAGCTACCCAGAAAAAAACTCAAGCTGAGAAATGTAAATTTGATTTCCAATTCTTATAAATATATATCAATGCACATGCATTTCAGTTTTTATTATCATACATATATGTCTCACAAAGACTTTATGTCTTTGTACTGATATGCTTTCATCTTATTTTAATAAAAGGAATAATTTCAGTATATTATTAAAACAAAATGATACTGAAATTATTCCTTTTATTAAAATAAGAGGAAGACGGTGATGGAGCAGGAGGCGGGGATGGAGTCGGTGGAGGGACTGGAGCAGGGGGAGGTGCTGCAGCAGGTGGAGATGGTGATGGAGCAAATAGTGATGAAATGTTTTCAAACTTGCTGTTTGCCAACAGCCAGTTTGCTGTTGATGATTACTGTTGATAAATACATTTGTTTCCATGTTTTTGAGGGGGAATGGATAATTTCAGTCAGGTAAAACAGCTAAAATATTTGGTTCCCCCCCATTAATTCTGGCAATGTAGGAGCAAATGCTACCAAAATCACAGGATTTATTGTTGATGATGAGAGGAATAGGCAAAGTTAAGCATTTGCAGGTAAAATAATTTGTTCCCATTTTATGGAGGGGAACAGAATATTTCAGGCTGCTGAATCATCCATTATTTCCTCTCCTTACTCCATAACCTTGGGGAATAAAGAACAACTGTTTCCAAATTCACAAAAACCTTTGCATACACACTACGTGTTGGGAAAACTGTGTTTGGTGACTGACTTTTATTTCTGCCAGACTTACGTGAGAAAAGAGCGATTCTCTTGGTGTTTACAATAACACAAAACAGCGTCAGAAGACCTCGTTTATTTATTTATTTTACAATTTTTTTAAACAACAGCTGCAAATTAAACTGAGTGTTACAACATTGACATGGTTGTATTAGTTGTTTTTTTTACCGAGAAATCGATCAGAAGCGACGTGAAAATGATCAGATCCGCCTCTTTCGCCTCTCTGGCTGTAATGCGCGCTCCCGACGCAGGGGGAACAGATTTTCACAGGGGAACCGAATTTCGCACAAGACCGGGGTTTGGAGTGTGACTGCAGGGAGGACGTTAAAGGAAGGGAGTATTAAATTACCGCAGTGAAGTTGGTTTCCAGTTGGATATTCAAAATTATGCTGAATTCTGGAAGCTTTTTATAATCATAGTTGTTTTTTGTTGTTGTTGTTGTTTATTTTATTTTATTTATTTATTGTTATGTGTTTCAAGTAAATTGGCGAGGAAACTTGAACAGGTGAGAAGCGTCTCTGAAAACACGGCGAGAGGGGAGTTAACATTCTCAGGAAGTATATGTTCTTGATCTCGTCTGTAACGCACTTAACGAGTTGAACAGGAATTTCGTTTTTCGTTTTTCGCCACCTCTTTATATCTAACCATCCCACTAGTTAGTGTGAGAAGAGACTCAGCTCGGATGACAGGTAAGGACATTATTATTATTATTACTAGTAAAAATGATAATAATGAACATCATCAGTTTTTAAGTATTCAAACATTTCTAAGTCTAAAATATTTGCTTTGGTGACTTGTCCAGATCTTATCTACTTTTAATGCTAGTTCTAAATTTAGGAGACTTTTATATATATTGATAGCCTATATATATATTTACAAATTCATTTATAAGTGATTTTCAGTCACTCATCGTGTTGCAAGTTTCGTGGAGACTCGTTGCGGGGAAGCAGGTTGGGGATGCGGCCGCAGTTTCTCAACTGGAAGATAATTGTTGACACGTCTTTCAGTTGGAGATGGATTCATTACACTGCGAAACATTTGAGTGGAATTTAGTTGTGCCTCTCTTCTATTCCAGCGAGTTTTACATTTTGCATCTAAACGAGTCAGTTTGTGGAAGTAGAACTTCCACAAACTGATTGTGTTAACTTTTTGTTAGTTTTGGCAGACATCCAAGAATAAAGGAGTTTATTCAACTCTACTTAATAAAAGAGTTGAATAGTTTATATGAGATGAAAGTGTGCTGCATCGAGTGACTCTTGTTCGTTTATGAAGAGAAAAATAAAAAATAATACACATAAATTACAGAATTGCGAAAAGAACAAAAGCAGGCAAAAGAAAATATTTTCCAAATACATTTCTTTCAATATAAATCTTACTCTTGTTTTTCCAGAACAGACCAATGCTACACATAAATACACTTTTTAAAATACCAAAAATAACTGGTGAAAACTTGAACTCACAAAAGTAGAAACAAAGCAAAAAACAGCTTTGAAAGTGCGTTTCAAGATGTGCATCAAGCAAAAATGTCTCCATTTTATGATAGTGCATGTGTTGTTTAAAAATTAAGCAACCAGAGAGAACAGTGAATAAACTGTGTACATTACACCAGGGCTATCAATACAATTATTTGACTTTTTTTGTGAAAATGTTCTTAATTGTGCATCAATGACATGAGAGAGCATATGACTGTGTAAACCTTGTGAAACCACATCTCATTCTTTCTTTCTCTCTTTTTCCATTTTTGGTCTCTCTTAAACTCGGCACTCAAATAAAGGAAATGTCTGCATTTTAGTATATGTCAACTGTAATGTCTTAATAAACAGAGGAGGCTTGGACTATATCCATTTGTCTCTATTATTGTGCTATATCTGTGATAACCATAGAGAGAACTTGCACATCTCAGAATACAAGGACTGTACCAACCCAGGTGAATAATGGGGGGTAAATACATCAGATCAACATTACGCACAAGTCTAAACAATGATTTTTATTTACAGGAACAAATCTAAATTCAACTCTGCAAGTGTTTCAAACACTTTGGCAAATCCCCCTCACTCTTGGTAAAGTACAAAAGATTTACTCAACATTCTTCAAAAGATGACACATTAAAATACGTACAAAGTTGATCTGTGATTGGAAGAAACTATAAAATCTTGTGCAAATGACTGTTGGCTTCTTTATAGAAATCACTAACCTGAGGCCATCTTGAAACCATGCGATCGCGCAAACAAAGCTGGTGCCAGCTGTTTCTGAAGCTCACCGTCGCACTGGGATTACTGTGGACGCTGTTCCTGGTTCTTGAGATGCAGTCATCCTGGCCTATTGACCTGACCCACAGGAACCACTGGTTGGACTACAGGGATTATGACTTTGGGCCTGAGACACTGTGCAACTGCTCAGGACTCCTGGAGGGAAACACAGAGGCGCTGGTGGAAGCCAAACTATTAACCATCACAAAAGAGTTCCAGAAACATATTCATATACCTGATGAGTACTACATTAATGAAACCAAGGACTGCAGGTGTGTTGCTTTAAACTACAATGGATTGCAGAACTGTTCATAACCCTAGAACGTTTTCACATTTTGTGGCGATTCTATGATAGAAAAACATTAAGTAGAACGAGATTATGAATACACTTGTATTCAAGTCAACTAAGATCATTAAAGGACAGATTCATTTATACTGAGCAAAAAATGACATATAGACAAACTCCATTTGCTGGTAAAATAACTTCTGAAGACAATAGATTGTTTTGGGTTTTATTTATTGGTAACTGAGTAACTGAGCCACTCCTACAAGCTATCTATGCATAACTGTTATTTCTGAGAAAACAAATGAGAAAACATTTTCCTTCTACTTCACAGTTATGCAGCACTTTGTATTGCTATGTCGCATAAAACCTCAATATGCTGGTCTATGGTTGCATTGCAACATGTGAAACGTTTAAGGACTTTGGATACTGCTGCAAAGACAATTATTTCTTTTTGTAAAACAGTAACTTCAGTGACACATAATGACATTCAACATTATGTTGAATTTGTTACAGGAACTTCAAGTCAAAGAGGAAATATATAACATTTGCCCTTAGCAAAGAAGAAGAAGACTTTCCTCTGGCTTATTCTATAGTTGTTCATCACAAAGTAAGTGCATTCTAACATTGCTGTTAATTATATATTACATATACATTTATATTATAGACCTTACACAGATTGAGCTTATTGGCTCATGTTTTCAAGTTCTCATTTCTGTTATTGTTTATTTTCTACTCATAGTTGACAAAGGCAAAACATTTAAATATTACATCAGTTCAAAAGAAACAAACGTTTTATTTCTCAAATGTGAGCTTACTGAATGCTATATTTAATACCGGCTTATAGGTTGTAATTTTAAGAAGGTACTTTTGATCTGAGCCTCATCCGAGCCCCTTTCCCATAATTTTTTCCCATCACATGAAACGAAACAGTATTTGAGTCAATGACACAACAATGCAGAGGAACCACAGATTGTTATGTTATTAAAAATAAATAAAGGAAATGTAAGCTAAGCAGGCACTTGCTTGATCTGGAAAAAGTGACTAAGATTTTGTGATGTTTCTCTTTCAAGGGTTTAAAACTCAGCTAGAAAACTGAACATGCAATTCCTCACAGAGCAATATTTCACTCCTGTTAGAAAGAAAAGGAACTTAATTTTTATTTTTTTGTCATTTACTAGGTGCAGAACTTTGAGCGACTGCTACGAGCCATCTATGCACCTCAGAACATTTACTGTATTCATGTGGACGAAAAATCCCAGGCCTCTGTAAAAGCTGCCATCACCGGCATCGTTTCCTGTTTCCCCAATGTCTTCATGGTCACACATGCTGTGAATGTGGTCTATGCTGGGTGGCCTCGTGTCCAAGCTGACATCAACTGCATGGCTGATCTCTATAAGTATAGTACAGAGTGGAAATACTTCATCAACCTGTGTGGACAAGACTTCCCTCTAAAGACCAACTTGGAAATGGTGAGAATGCTGCGCTCGCTGAAGGGCGGCAACAGCATGGAGTCCGAAGATATGCCTGGATCGAAGAAGTGGAGGATATCACAAGTTCACCAGATTGTTAATGGGGCAATCAAGGTACATTTGGAGAGCATTTGTAGCTTGTGTTGAGACCTAATTATCAATTTTGTATTCATTTTTATTTATTCTATGTTTTCAGTCGACAGGAAAGTCGAAGAGTCCGCCTCCCTTCAACTTCCCCATTAAGTCAGGAAATGCCTATATCGTGGTAACTCGGGGCTACATCCGGAGTGTTTTGAAAGACACTCGAGTACAAGATCTTATCGAGTGGGCCAAAGACACCTACAGTCCTGATGAGTTCCTGTGGGCGACCATTCAACGAATCCCTGGGGTGCCTGGCTCGAAGAGACCCCACACTAAGTACGATCAAACGGACATGAATGCCATTGCACGACTAGTGAAATGGTTCTCGCATGAGGGATCACAGGATTCAGCGGTGTATCCTGCGTGTCAGGGCAGCCACGTAAGGTCAACTTGTGTATATGGAGTTGGTGATTTACAATGGCTGCTGGAGAACCACCACCTGTTTGCCAATAAATTTGACATGGACACAAATCCCATTCCTGTCTTCTGCTTGGAGAGACATCTCAGACAGAAAGCACTGGCTGAAACAGAAGGTCAATTTTTTTTTTAATAGATGACTTAAAACAAGAAGATCTACTGGAACATATTTATGGTTGGATTGTAAATTTGTAGCTGCAAGGGATGGGGGGTGTTGGTGTTAATATTTTGGAGCAACTGTGGCTCAGAGGTGGGAATTCATCCTGTAACCTGTGGGTTGCTGATTTGTATTTCAGTCATGTTCTTCTTCTGCATTACCTGCTGGTGGTGCTGGTCTGAGTAAGGTGGTGCTGATTGTATGCCAGCCATGCCTTCTAAATGTTGCGCCCCTCTTAAATATTCTTTGAACAAATATAAAAGATTTCAATATCTTTAATATTAAAATATCTTGTGTGCTTTGGTTTTGACCCATTTAGTGTCACTGTGGAGCAAAAAAAATTTTCATGAAGTTTTATGTGTATGTTTTTTGTCATTTTTCTATCCCGTGATAAATAAAACATTAAAAACGCCCAATTAAAGACATTTTAGTTTACCTCATGCCTTTTGAACTGCTGGATTACCTTACAGGATTTTCTTGAATGGGGAAAGTGTTTCCCAACATTGTAGATGGTCACTTTTTAAATAACTTTTGTAGGAAGTGAAATCTTAATGGAAAGTATTACATACAACAAATTTGACTTTTTGGAATGTTTTTTTCTTTAGTTTTTGATTCATAAGAAACATGACCACAAACATCCAGTGACTATTTAAAAACTATTTTGAACATCCCTAATCTTTAAACTTGGCTAAATAGACCAAATACTTTTAAAGAAAGAGTGACTATTCTGTTCTTGTTGCTGGGAATATGCAACCTTTTCCTATTCTAAGAATTAGGAAAACAACTGACCTATAAAAGTCAGAAAACATATTTTCCTTTCTTTTAACAAGTTCAGAATGCAAAACTCTTATGTTTTGGATGTACAATTTTTCTCTAGTCTTTATGATATGGAAAGAACAAGTAGAATTGCTTGGTAATAAATAATTTTACCCAACCGCTAGCAAAGAGTAAAAGAGTGTCATACTTTCTGACAAAAAAACAACTGTGTTGCTCTCCCGCCCCCAATACTAAAGAAATAAAAAAGGAAAATTACCAAATAGAAGATTTAGAAAAAGATTGATCAAGTTTCTCAATGACAAAATAGAAACATTTAGCTTTTTGTTACTGCGTGTTAATTTAAATATTTCTGGAAAGTATTGGAAACAAATAAAACACAACAAGCTACTGGTCAGGAGGAAAATGTATTTAATGTAGTGCACAATTTTCTGATCTCTACAACAAATAAATATTATGTGCTGTGGAAAAAAGAGAAGAATTTCCAATCACTGTCAGGTTTATTTTTATATTGTATTGTACAGAGAGCTTGTAAGACAATCGATAATGAAGAGGTTCTGAATGAAAGGCTGTCAAACAGTCAACACATGAGTTTTATGTGTATGGTTTTTGTCATTTTTCTGTCATTTTTACCAGGGATAAAGTATCCAAAACATGGGAAACAGTCTGGTTCCCATGTAGCTGTAGGAAAACAACTTCTAACCTTTGTGTAGCCCAAACCGGTTCTTTTGGTGAGAGTTCACAAGCATTTAATATAACATGATCAGCAGATGTTAACTAATAATTATTTTCCCACCTAATATAACATGATCAGCAGATGGTAACTAATAATTATTTTCCCACCTAATATAACATGATCAGCAGATGGTAAGTAATAGTCATTTGCCAGTTACATATTAACATTTATGAGTAAAAGCATACATTCCCGTCTCTTTTATATTTGCCCGAAGGAACATAAAGTATTTCAGTTTGCCACACAATGGTTCATTTTACACAAAGGTTGAACTTCGACCCACAGCTCATACTCATTATAATTAGGTCAGTCATAAAGCCATGTTCCTTCTGGTTTCACCAATGATAAGTGATTATTACAAACAGATGATAGAAAACATTTGGAACATTGGAAAACTCCACTCCAATTTGTTTTTCTCTGACAACCTTTTAATTTCACTACAGTGATTAAATTCTGCTGATCATATGGATGTTTTCACAGTGACACAGTGTAGCTGGAGAAAAGAACAGCTCATTTAACTAATAAACAAATCAAGTGTTGCTTTACAAGTCTGCACACAGGAAAGAAAATCACAACTTACTCAACAAAACATCCTTCTCTTTCATGGGGTCAACCACCTCCGCCTTTCAACATCATGCAAGTGCAGGTCGCACTGCTTATAAAATAGTCCTAGTATTCAAGGTCAATTTATTGTTCTTTCAAAAGTTTATCGACCGAGACCATTGTCTAAACAAATAAAACAGCTAATCTCTGTTCACTAGTTCAACAGACACTTCTTAGAAATCAAACCCAGCACAATACCCTGATGGTGGAGGGAGAGCAGAGGCTTTCTGCGAACGTCGAGTTCAAATTGCAACTGGGGCTTCAGAAAATACACAATAGTATAAATACCTTTTAATATACAGTGAAGAATAGCTGTAAACGTGTTAATTATATTTAAATAAACACAGAGGAAGAGATGGTGAACTTAGTTAAGTGATGTGAAAATGGGGCAAAGCTTTCCTCCCTTTCAGCACAGTGACAGTCTCCAACATCCTTTAATCAGAAACTCCCCACAAAGACGACGTGATCTTAGTTACCATGTTGGCTTTATGGCACCATCCCTTCCGACTCACCAATAGTTGCAAGGCAACAACTGTGTGCCGCCACAAATCATGCTGCAAGCTTTCATAGTCGGACATGCTGTGGCAGACAGTACAGCAAAATACAGGGAAAAATGAGGCAGCATCCAAGTGTCTTCTCAAACAGTTGATTTCCCTTTGTCCACTCTGCAGGAGACAGAAGACAAAAAGGAAGAGAACATTTACTGCAGGGAAACTTTTTCTTTGGCTATGAATTTGAGACAAAATATACACTAAGCAGGAAAAGGAAGGAAATGCTTTTAGTCAACTCACAAAATGAGAAAGTCCAAAGTCTCTGAGGCTCACATATGTCCTTTTATTGTTCTTCCATCCATTTGGAAAAATGGAAGCTCAGCTTTTTTTTTTTTAATACAGTTCAAGCATATTTGCTTTCCTCAAAAATGGTGGTCAGAGCATTAAGCATTTCTGAGTAATTTCCCTTCACCGACATGCTTATGCTCCTTTCTAAATTTGCATTTGTTCTGATGGTGTCTGGTTAGCTCAGCAGAGGCGGGCTGAGCCTGATCATGTTTAGTTTGTTGCTAACTGACGCTTTAGTGCTGCACAGAATTGCCGCTTGCATAAGTCTTAAATATTTACTTAATATTACATGTCCTTGAGGATTTAAGTAATATTCTCCTATTACATATTTTTCAAAAGAGATTTGTTTGAAATGCAAAATAGTTTCCCAGTTGGTTGAACACTATCAGTTTCTATTGCTTTTAACTCAACTCTGTTTCCACAGCTTTCTACTTGACCTGTCTGCTGTGTTCCTAACCTTCCAGTTAGCCACTTTTCAGTTCCAGATCTAAAAACTATGAAACTATTACATTGTTAACTGATACACTGACTGACTGATGTTCAAAGTACAGGCTAGAGAAAATTTTTTCAAAGGATTTTGTAGTTTTTTTAGACATTGCAGCAACATCTTCACTAAAATATTAACAGTGGTCCTTTTACAGTACAGCATGTTGTGAGGTGGGGGTCGGTTAACTGCGTGAGAATTACTTAATATAAAATTATTAGTGCCTTCTTTACTGATGACCGTAATTAATAAGAAAAGCATAGCCGAAAATTAATGTGATCCGTAATTGGCTCAACACTTGGTCGGAAAGAGTTGGTAATGGTTAATGTTAACAAGAGATGAATAAAAAATATCAGCACACATTCATATCATGCATTTTTTATTGCCGTTAAACAGTTTCCTTAAGTGAGGAAACTGGATCAGTTCCAATCTTTCAAGAGCCATCATGTTTTTGTGCCTGCCTTGAATTCCTCCACAGAGCTTTTTCACTGAATACCTCTATGTCTGATGAACCCAAATGGTCAGCCGCTGACGTAATCAAGCCCACATGACTTGATAACATTTTTAAAAAATCTTTTTCTTGTGGTATTTTCTGTTCTGATGGGACTCATCTTTCTATAAGACCAGAAGTCTAGGCAATCTGGCTGACTGTAGATAAGACTTGATAAACAAAAACGCAGCTGGGACTTTTGTGTTTACTCATAATCAGCCTCCGTTCATGATTCTCTAGCGGGCAATTCTCATTGGTTATTGACCAATTTTATTTCATCAGTCCTACAGTAAATGTGGTTAAGATGAAAAACATAATGTTACAAATCAATGGGTCCCTATGAGAGCATTTTTTTATTAGAAAAGAAATAAAAGAAGAAACAGACTGGGAGACAAAAAATGGATATTAAGGACTTAATTGAAATATTCAGTCTTGTAAAATAATAATCATTACTAGCACGCGCTGCAAGTCATTAGTAGCTCTGAACAGTTTTTAAAAAATGATGGGAAAAAGTGAAAATCTTGGTTATTTTATTTGTGAAATATAAACACCAGAATTAACTGAAGTTGAAACACCTGAGAATCTCTACCTTGAAGGAACTTATTTACATCAGCCCCGTACAGTCAGCTTGTTCCTGGTTTGGACACTGGTCTTATAAGGACAGAGGGAAGTTCTGCAGAACCCGGAAACAGACTTGCTTTGTAAGCGCCACTGAATCTTACTGTTACCGCACACTAAGGCGATTGCATGCTGTTCGTTTAAATGTGACACACAAGATAAATTGATAATTCACTCTGAAAGTCAGTTCCTGGAATAACAGGAATAACAGAAACATTCAAATGTAAAAAAGCAGCTAACCCTAACTCGGGACAGGAAAGTCAAATGTCAGTCAAAATCTGCTGGTTTTGGTTTTTAGAAAACAATCTGGTCCACATACACAGAGGCAACATGCGTCATTATTCCTTCAAGATAGTTTTATATAGCTCTGACAACGACTCACTTCATAATGCTGGGAGGAATGTGGACATATTCCATTGGGATTATTTCTCCGAGCTCCTGCAAGCTGTGAACATACTTGATCTTACTGCTGAATTTTGAGCTGTACAAAAACAGGAATCAAAAAGATTTCAGTGTAATTCGATATCCAGTGCAGTGTGATAATATTCATTGTTGCATTTTGTGTCTACATTGTGTGTAAGTGAATTGTGAGTAACAGTGAGACCTTATGAAGGGCCTGGTGAGTCCCAGCAGTGTTCGAATAAACCAGGAAGGATGGACAATGATGAACATCTTTAGGTTTTTCTTCAGTCTGCAGCAGAAAGAGAGAGAAAACTAAACATCATGAAGGATATTGAGACAAACAGCTATGCCCATGCTCTCAGAAGATATTTTAAAGTTTTTCTATTTACCGTGACCGCTTTTTGATAATTGTTTTTTGTTTAAAACCTGACCATTACATATTGAGCATGTCTGCTAAAAAAGAGAGGAAACTGGATCAGTGATGCATCAATCTTCACCTACTGTTTGCCAGCTTTTCAGTTTTGACTCTCAAAAATTATGTTTCTGCTTAGAAAGACCTTAAACCTTTTCTTTTGATCTTAAAATAGACAACACCATCAATTTTTATCCTATTTCGATCTCAATTAGAGAAAAAATTTTTTTTAAACTGCAAAACATTCAGTGATACTCGACAAGGACAACAGACATAAATTTACAGCATTAGC